GCTGTTGCATCAGTTTTTAGCAGGATTTAGAATGTGATGCAAGGTGGACATCACTGCCACCGTCTATGAGGACAGAAAGGAATATAAGCGGAAATACATGTGGGGTATTGTGTTGAAATAAAGAACGGAGACAAATGTGTATTGGAGAGGAGGGATGGGCTGTGATATGTTTTCTTCTCCCGTTGCAACGCACAAGAAACTTCAAATGTGCATGTCACTTATTACTGAATTTCCACCACAATAGTTGACCACTTATGTTCTTGCATCAGATTTTTTATAAGGACTGAGACAAGTGTGTATTGGCGAGGATGGATGGGCTGTGATTTGTTTTCTTCTTCCGTTGCAACGCACAGGCATTTTTTGCTAGTAAGTATTAACACAATATCATGTAACCATCAATTTGAATGAGTTATTCTGCAAATATACATCATCGCTCCAATTAATTATGTCATCAATTTCTAATTGAATGAATTGGAAGAACAAGAACAAACCTTAATGTTTTGACAAGATTGAATACAATTTGAGATGTATTCGTGGACAAATCCTGTCGGGAGTTCAACCGCAGTAGTAAGTCTGTTTACAACTTCCATCGAATGCAGGCTCATCTCCATGTGCACAAGAACATCAAAATAACTAAAAGGAGGAGGATCAGTACTAAGATAGAGGAAGCTGGCGCAGAGGCAGAGGCGATCACAATTTCACGATAACAGAACATGCCTGAGAAAAGAAACAGACATTACCCTGCAATGTCAGGAGAGTTCATAAGCTTCGAAAGAAGCTCTACAGCAATGAGTGGATTATGCTCAACAAGGTCCTGAAACCATAGAAAAATATGTCAGACGAAATACATTAAAAGTGTGAGGAGATCAATATTGTCAAGAGTATACATACTGGAAGTTTCTGTGGAGTCATCCCACAGTGATAGACTAGCTTAGAGTCCTTCACCAATTCTATAACAACTTGCTGTGAAAAGCTGCGAATAAATTAGGCTTGTACCATATGAAAATATGTTGCACGCAAATGAATGTGTTTGCACGAGAAAAAAGGGTGCTGAAAGACATGGTGCCATAGCATTATCCAGCATCAGGCTGAATAACTTGAAGATTCAAGAGAACGCAAAGAATCTTTGGAAATACTACAGCTGCCTAAATATTTAAAACACTCATTTCTCCCTAAATTGATATAGCAGAAATACTAGAATGGAGCAGCGAACCTCCTGTTGAGCAGGTACAAGTGGACCTTTTAAGGCTCTGGCAATCAAATCACGGATCGCAGCCCCACGACTCGTTTCAGCACACATGCTATAATCCCATAATAGCTCATGATTGTTGTCAGGATTCAGCCACTGTAGCTGTATTTTCAGAGCAAGTACAGTCATATTAACAATAGAACTGGTATGAAAATACAACTCTTGGCTGAATATGTTACCTCCCCATCAAGTATATGAAGTCTTGGGGGGTTCGGCCGTATCCATTGGGGACCCAGTCTTCCCCATGATTTTTCTTGGAGTAAAGCAACAAGAGCAGAATCTCTATCATCGGAAGTAGATTTTTGTTTGCTTCCAGGCGCTGATATCCTAGAAAATGATGTGATTTTAAAAAGTAACAAGTTCATAAGGAAAAGCCCAAGAAGAAATAACAAGCAGCACATTCTAACTTTGTGGAGGCAGCTGAGCATACATACTCTGATGAATTGGCACAACTCTGAGGTATATCTGGATCTGGTATAGCACATCTAACAGTAGCGCTTCTGAAACTACTAACTTGAGGCTGAGGCTGTACAATACTCCTGCAGAATTGCTTCTCAAGGTGTTCCCGTGGCAATAAGGCCTAAATAAACAGATGACCCTGAGTTAAGAGGCCGTTAATATTGGAAATAATCTACATATAGTTTACATCAACTATATTCAATCAGTTCCTTTATTAAACAACAGTTTAACAGTCTACCTGTGATGCAGAAACAGGCCCATTTACGTAATCTACAGCTGACTTTTGCAGCACCTGACAAAATAGAGCACCGCCAAACTTAGCATAGATTGACAAACTACACTTGTCGACAAGGATAAATCAAGAGATAACTATATCAAGGCCCCACTGGATATTTTATTATATCATAGGTATTTTATGGACAAGTCAAAGAGCAGAAGAAAAGACCTCATTGTTATTGTCTCCGCTGGCCGAAGTCAACAAAAGTTGGACAAATGCTTGTTCTGATTTATCTGATGATTCATCACAAGCTGCCTGTTGATAACAAATATCAAAACTTCAAGAATGATAAACAGCTAATCTCATGCCAACAAGCTCTCCATTGCCCTCCTGACGCCGTGGATGATCTGGAAGCAGCGCAACAATGCATATTCGACAGTGCCCAACCTCTTGTCCCAGTCCTGGTCTCTAGGATCAAGGACAAAGCCGAGCAATGGGCACGAGCTGGTGCTCGTGGCTTGCGGGTCATCTTACCCACCACCTGGGATGTACACTAGTTTTCTACCGATCCGGCATGAACTTCGCCTCTTAGGAGGATTGTAAATAACCTTCTATCTTTCCAATGCAATGAAACGCAAGTCCTTTGCGTTTTCCCAGAAAAAAAAAGAAAAAAAAATGCCAACAAGCTGAAGGGTAATGGATTTCAAAAGGTATTCAATTTGGCAGTTCTTCCATTGTTGCCATCGCATTTTTTTTCAAAAGAAAGCTATATCCACTGGTCACAGAGGCAAAGAAGCAGCTGCTTCAAAATTATAAAATCATGCTGAACTATGCACTTGGACAGGTTGGTGTCAACTCAAGAAGAGTAGTGCAACCACAATTCACTCATTCGAATAAGATTGCGCACAATCCCCATAAATTAGCCAAATTAACTGTTCTAAAAGATCAGGACGCTTCTACTCGCCATAATTCCGTAAACAGAAGAATCCCAAAAGAAGCCATTGATCTTACAGTGTAAGGCATTCAGACTAACAAGCTAAGCTAGACAGTGCGAAATTATATGTTGTGGCCCAAGAAGAGATCAGCAAGAGCTCAAACTATTCTCAGTGTTGGATAAGAGACTTTGATCTGATGTTCAAAATATCAACTTCTGGAGTTCAAATTCAAAACTCAAAAGAACGGCCATAAAATCCAATGGAGCAGCTAGAAGCAACATCAAAGTTTATATTTTGGGCTACAGTACTAACATGAGGACTGAAATGCAAGGATTCAAGGGTCCTTATGTTAGAAGCTAAAGCCAGATATTGAGTAAAGGGAACCTGGCAATATTATAGAAGGCGGAAGACAAAGTGCAAACTACTCCCTCCGTTCCTAAATAGTTGTCTTTTTAGAGGTTTCAAATGGACTATCACATACGGATGTATATAGACATATTTTAGAGTGTAGATTCACTCATTTTGCTACGTATGTAGTCACTTGTTGAGCTCTCTAGAAAGACAAATATTTAGGAACGGAGGGAGTATAAGACTAATTTCAAGGAAGGAATCCAAAGTCAAAATGGATTCAATAACAAACAATCCTCCAATTCGCACAACCATTTCCCTGAAGGCAACACATGAAATTGCAAATGAAACTTGGTTGCCAGATCAGAAACTACAACAGACAATAATACATGATGTGTTATGCTAGCGTAAAATATCCCTTAACTATAAGCATAAAATTAGTCGCTCACTTAAGCACGCCTGGGCGCTGCGCAGAGGCAAAATGCCTCACTTTGGCCCTGGGCGGTAGAATAGGTGGCCGGTGAGGTGCTTTGGTGGTGATGGCATTGGGTAAGGAGAGGCAACAGCGGGAGAGATGCGACCGGAAGACTGATGTCTGGAAGGCAGCAGGCGAAAGAAAGAGATAGAGGAGAGCAAATGGACAGTTCAGATTAGAGCATGTAGACGGTTCAGATTGGGTTGGCATGCTAGGGTTCCATAGTGGACTTCAATGGGTCAATGCTGTAGAGCTGAAAGATGCTCTGAAAAATAAATGTGTGCCATATCCGTACAAAAATGCACCCAGCCGCCCCTGCTATCATGTCTGCACAAACGCCGGCACGCGTCGAGCTAGGCGCTAGGCAGAGGCAAAATGCTCGCCTAACGTCTTGCACTTAATTTTTCTTTGACTATACGACAATAAACTATCAAAAACTTTATGATTCATGCCCTAGCAATCATAAACATATCAAAGAAGCTTTGCAAGTTCACATATTTATGTTTTACATATGTTGGAGGGGAGGAATGGAAGTTTGTCCATAATGATCTAAATCACACATAATTGGAAAACAAGGTTTTGAACTTACATTTAACAGCAGAGGAACATAGGGATTTACTGGCTGTGAGGAATAGCTCTGATGAAGAATTGCAAATGCGATTAGACGACCGGTTGCATGAAGCATTTTCTTGTCCTAGTCAAATAGATAAAATAACACATCAAACTTCAAACTCCATTTGTTCTGTGAAACAGAGGAGGTAAACAGACATCTCCATATTAATTACTATTACAAACAAGATACATTAGTAAGAAATTCTTCAAAAATGTCAAACAGACATTACAAAGTCTGTCAGTCACTATATGTAGCAGCAACAAGCTTAGGTGAAACACCTTGATGGTTGCAATGTTTTAGAGGCCTACAGCTGCTACTGCTATGGAACCACTGTTCAGGACCATATCAGTCAGGGGCTGAGAAGGGTTAATCAGCGAATCAGCCATTTAGCTGAATATATCGGTAACCCATTTACCGGTAGGTTAACTCGGGTCATATCTATATATCTGAGGCTACATAGCAACATGCATTGTACTGAATGTCTAAATATGCAATCATAGGCTACATAGCAACACGGAAGAGTGTTACCTTGATGTTCTGATGATGTCCAAATATACATATAAGAGCAGCAGCAGCAACAACAACAACAACAACACAGCAGTAGTAATTGTACATCACTATCTAACATCAAAGGAGAGCAGCACAACAACAATACTTCTTGTACATTACTGACATAGGAGAGTAGTTTTTTGGCCAAAATATGTGCCCGGTTAATCGCTCCAACCGATAATTCGGTCTAACAACAGATAAATCAACTTGTCAGACAGATTAACTGGGCCTCCCAGTTAATGGGCCGAATAGACCTTTTCTCGTATCGGAGGGGAGCCGAATAGCAGTTAACTACAGTTAATAGGCCGATATTTGTAACAATGTATGGAACAATTCAGGTCACAGACTTTTTAGATTTTTACGTGGGCAACTTGTTGGGAATTATTTTTGATGATCCATTAGTGCGCTTGAAGAAAAAACAATTAATACATAAGATGGTAATGAAGTATTTTTAGCCTCTTATTTTCCTTTTCACTACAAGAAACGTCCGCAAATCTTATGGCATCCTAAGGATACCTAAGCAAACAAATCAGACACAGCACACTGATCACCAAGTATTTGCTTGATTCTACCATGAATACAAACCGCTGCCGTGCAATGTAATACAAAATCTCAGCGGTGCTATATCTTTAGAAGACACTGTGCAGCTATAGCAGTAAACTCCAAATGGAGTCTCAGACAACTAGTAAACTTATTGCCACCTACAAATCCATTAAAATTCGATTCTACTTTGAAACAGGAGACATAGTGACCTCCGAGGCTGCAAATCTAGGCCTAACCCAGTCAAGTGAATGTGAAACTCTCAGCCACCCTGGGCACAGCAAAACGCACTAAATCTAACCACCCAGCACAAACGCTAAGCAAACCAGACCAAACAAGTGCCCGATCCATTCATCGCAAAGAGGTCTCCGACCCAATCTGGCGAACGAAACAAGCTAGCTCTCGCATCGCGGGGAGCTGGATGAGTC